GAATTCTGAAGTGGGTCAGCTAAAAGGATTGGGCTTAGACCCTATCCACTCAGAGAGTCCAAGATCTAAATAAGATTTAGATCTGGAAACCTCCTAATTAGATTAGGARWYADCTGATCTGATCTGCAGATAAGATAAGGATTATCCCTTATCCATTATCATTCCATTGTCCCACCCCTATAGCGCAGTGTCGGTGGCCCATGCCTTTTTCACGCACATCTTCCGCCTACATGGGCTACCCGAGTCCATCGTCAGTGACAGGGATGCAGTCTTCACCAGCACCTTCTAGAAGGAGCTATTCAGATTACAAGGCACGACCCTAGCCTTTTCCTCCGCCTATCATCCACAGACGGACGGTCAAACAAAGGTTGTCAATCGCACCATAGAAATGTACCTCCATTGCTTCGTAGGGGACCAACCATGACGCTTGGTGGACTACCTTCCTTGGGCCAAATACTGCTATAACACATCCTACCACTCGTCCCTTGGCATGACCCCCTTCCGCGTGGTGTATGGGCGAGACCCTCCTCGTCTTCTCTCCTACGAACCGGGTTGAACACGGTTGGAAGAAGTGGACCGCAGCCTCCAAGACTGCGATGCCCTACTGGCTGAAGTCTCCTTACGGTTACAACAGACACAGGCACGTATGAAGATAGCCTACGACCAGCACCGCCGCGAGGCCACCTTCCAGCCAAGACAGTTCGTTTGGCTAAAGCTCCAGCCCTACAGGTAGCTCTCCCTCAGGCGACGGGGCCCCCAAAAGCTGACCCCAAGGTTTTACGGGCCCTTCAAGGTTCTTCCACAGATCGGGAAGGTTGCCTATCAACTTGAACTGCCAGAGCACAGCAAAATCCATGACGTCTTCCATGTGTCCCTACTAAAGCCTTTTACAGGGACTCCCCCAACTCAAGTGCCTCCTCTATCCCCTCTCAAGGACGGCAGACCCATCCTCCAACCTAGAGCTCTGGTTCGGTCGCGCATCAATCAAGGCACCTTCGAAGTTCTAGTTGACTGGGACAGACTACCATCAGAGGAGGCCACTTGGATCCCCTGGACCGACCTGCACAATGCCTACCCCGACCTCGAGCTTGAGGACAAGCTCGTTGTCCAGGAGGGGTGTAATGTTATGGACACGATACCCGGCAACACGCTACGTCGCAATCACAGGCAGCAGCGTGCACAGCAGCGCGCCTAGCGGTACAGGCTGCCTGGCAGCGCGCCGCGGTACAGTCTGCCAGCCGCACGCCTAGCGGCACGCACCGCACAGCAGCAGCACTCGACAGCAACACGCACCACACGACAGCGGCACCCACCACACGGCAGCAGCACGCGCCCCACAACAGCAGCAAGGAGAGACGTGCGTGCTAGCAGTAGAGTAGGGCCCACACGACAGCTCATCCCGATGGGCCCACTCTTATCCGACCACAGCAGCCTTGCTCGCCAACGCCAGCTGTACCTTTCCCTTATCCCCTATTTTTGTGTTTCCCTTAGTAGTAGGAGTTTGAGTTTCGATAGAAGTTTAAGTTGCGATAAGAGAGGGACTACTTTAGCCGAATACAAGAAGGAAACCCTCTTGTAATCCCCTATTTAAGGAGCTGATTTCATTCAATAAAGGTATCGAAATTTTAGTCAAGAAAGAGAGCAAGGAGAGTTAGGTGATCTCTTGAACAAATCACCCCTCAGTCCGCCACCATAAGGTCAACTCGCAAGGGCAAGGGCAAGGGCAAGGGAAGGCAAGGAGTTTTCCCCACAGACCGCCCCGTGACGATATCCTACGCCCGGGCCCATAACATGGGGTTGGTGCCTTTATATAGGCATTGTTTGGCATGGGCTTCACGCACCGTATCCGAGATTTCTGTGAGGTCGTCTAAGTGGTTCAAGGTTCCTGGAAGTAACCGCCATGCACATTGACCACCCTCCAGATCGTTCGGCACATGGGCCATTTCCAATGATCGTGGGAGTGTTTGGATATGCATGCCGAATTCATCGGCGAGCACGTCTTGCAAGTCACTAGGTCGGCGCATGTGCCAGGTCGCGCCTGTGCCAGGCTACCAGGTCAGTGCCTGTGCCAGGTCGACAGGTCGTGCCTGTGCTAGGCTGCCAGCTCGCGCCAGGGCCAGGCCGCCAGAACGATGCATGTGCCAGGCCGCCAGGACGCGTCGGTGCCAGGCCGCGCCAGGGCCAGTCCGCCAGGCCACGCCTGGGCCGCCAGGTGGGACACCATCAACTTGGCTAAGGCAAATTATTGCTAAAATGATTCCGGGTGTCACCTAATTGTTCCGAGGTGCTATGTGTCACAATATCATTGGAGGGCTAAATCCGCCCTCATCAATGTTAAGTGCTTATTTATCTTTGTTGGATGTAGGGTAAATGGAGCATGGCTTCTTCACCTTCAATATCGAAAATTCAAGATCCAAAAAGACAAATTGTGATTGGTCAGCACAGGGGGATGCTGCTAGCAGAAAGGGTCAGTTTGTGCCCCCCACCCCCACCCCCACACACAAAAGGGGCAATTTGTTATACTTTTAAATGAGATCATCGACGTTTCTTCCGTTGATCACGGCTATTGTAAACTACAAATAAAAAAAAAAAAGACCACGGCTATTGCAGTTTATTTTATTTCTTTCAGGCTTTCAGCCAAACTGAAGGATGGTAATGTCAATACAGAGTTAGAGACTGTACTCATCAATTCAACTCAGCAAACCCAACTACATGAGTTGTCTATACAAAATATAACGCATAAACAGAAACACAGGCTGTTTAAATTCAACGCCTTTAACGTGTTTTAACTTTTTTAGATACGACTATCAGTATACGAAATGCCATCTTCTTTACACTACATGGGACCAAAGCAATTGTTGCTTCTATGTAGATAGACCATGCCCATGATGAATTCAATGTTCTGAAACTCGGATAAGATGCACAACCCAGATAATGGGGCCGATTTTGTTCACTTGGGTTCTTGTGCTTGGTCAACCACTGACGTGGCCTAAATCGAGATTCATCAGTTTACTTCTGGTCTTGGGTATCTCTTACAGGATAAAAGCGTAAACATGAGCCATCATCATGGTCCTAGTCTCCTAGAAGCATAAACATACGAAGTGGAAATTGCACACGTCATGCATCGAGAGAAAAAGGAAAATGAACAATAGCAGATAACAAAGCCATAATGAAGCAAGTGGGTTGCATTCAATGGCCCATGAGACACCACGTTGCCACTTGCTCTTTTTCATAAAGTCTCCTAAAGGGGAATCAGAGGAAGAGTTGGAGAATGGAGATATTATTAAATTCCTCCAGGTCAATGCGGCTTGCCATTGTACTCCAGTTGTAACGTTATAAAAGCTATCTGACTAGAGATACAATTTTGCATCAACTCAATTGGTACCCACCTGAATACACCTTTCAAAAGTTTATCTCGGAATAAAAGACACGAGAAATGGAGTAGCCCCTTCCAAGGGGCCCAAATTTGTAGAACTGTTCCGTCCTTTCTCTAGGTCTAGGCCAATCCATCTCATATGGAGTCACATTCAGAGACTTGCGGTGCCTCGGTTTTATGCACAACCATGAACCAACCCCACCATCAGAACAAGTGAAGAAACATTGAACCATTCAGGCCCTAAGGGCACAGATGCAGAAAGTTATTTGTCTGTTAGGGCTTTCTTGTTTTTTTAAGCTAAAGGCAAAGGAACTACTTCGTCTTTTTTTTTTTTTTTTTTTTTTTAATTTTGCCAAATACTGAATTTGAGATTCATAGCAGGGACTCAAACTCAACTTTTTTTCCAATTCTAATAGGGTGCCTCATAAAGTTCAATTAATAAATAGATACTAACCTATAAAAATACTGTTGAATTTTTATGCCTCAAAATTTCACCTAGTCCTTCTCCTCTGTTAGGCTGGAAACCCTGGAAAATTTTCCCCCAATATGCGCCGTTCTTAGCAGGTCAACTTAATACCTTCTTGCAAAAGAAAGGTTTTCTTGTATAATAGGTTGGTTTATCCTTAAAATACTCATGGTGGCCAAACGGGGAATTACGCATGTCTTCAGAACAACTAAAGAATCGGTGAACGCCAGCCAACAATTCAATGTTGGACTTGTCCCTACAAGGGTGCATCATGCAATATGTCTCCTTTCGTAAAGGCCTGTAACTTGGTCAAACCACAGCCCCCATGATGGCCTGACCAGGGGTAAGAATGACAACGGATAAGGTATTCATTAAATTGTCCTATCCATTCTTGAACCTAACTATGTATCCTTGATTCCAAGCCCGTCCCGTCCCAAACCCATTAAATCCGTTCCGACCCATCCCACCCATTAAACCCCTTGGCTAAAAGTTTTTTACTAAAAAAAAATTTCTTAATGCTTATAATGTGCCTTGAACCCAAATCAATTAATAATAGCGCCAAATCTCTTAACACTACTTTAAGTCACTAAACCATCTCACCTTTTATGTTATTTAATGAAATAAAATAGATTTTATTAACTTTTGTCTTCATCAAAACAATCAATACATATATATGATTTACAATTCCAACTAAAAATTAAAAAAAATAATATTTAAAATTAACATTTTATAACTAAATGAAATAAACAATCTATCAAATCTAAATTTACATCAAATGATGATTTTAATCACAAGAAATTTATACAAATAAAATATTAATAATAAAATAATTATCTTAGGGTCCGTTTGGCTTGCAGGAATAGGGGTCTGGAATTGGAATTGGAATATTCTGATTCTAACTGTTTGATTGGGCAGAATCTTGAATCCCATTCCCACTCCTGCTGGAATGGCATTCCCCCATTTGAGGGAATGGCCATTCCCTTCCCTCCCTTGGGAATGAAATCCCATTCCTGCTGATTTTAATTCCCATTCCCATTCCTGTCTGAACCATTCCAATTCCGATTCCGGATACGAGCCAAACATACCCTTAGTACTTAAAGTTTATTAATTTGTGCATGATATATAATATAATGGGTTCATATTTTTGCATCCCAGGTATCAGGTATCGGATACCCTAATTCAAAATCCAAACCCGTCCCAAACCCTATAGGGTTTTAATCTAAAATTCCAAGCCCATCCCAAACCCTATAGCGTTTTGATAAACGGGTCCTATTAGGGTCAGGACGGGTCGGATACCCAAAACTTCCCACAAAATTGCCATCCCTAACCAGGAGGATCCTCATGAGTCTGGGCATCAGTCCTTTCCACAGGGCAAGCAGACCCGCTTTTGCAAATATGGTTCTGATGGCATGGAACATGCCTTATACTTCACAGGTCACCTCCAGACCGGTTCTGAGCCATCAGCCTTGTCTTCACAACATCGAAAGGTCCCGTGCATACAGGACCGGAAGACCCCGCCAGGAAACCTGATACCATGGACTGCCGTCGTAGGAGGACCCTCCCATCTCCATCGTGTTTCTTCCACAGGACTACATCAAATGCATTCTTAGATGTGAACATGGCAGCCTGGTTTGTCCCATTGCGCATAACAGTTGGTGCAGCCCCTGCCCAGACCCCAAGAAGTCCTTCCTCATGGATTATCATGCGAGCACAGTGTATGGGACCCTTGTACCTTAAAAGCTCAGGGCCAAGTCCCTTCAGTTGTTGCAATCCAATCTTCACCACCTGCAATCATCAGTCGTATCATCAGCTTATGCTGAACTCTTTTCATTCTTTCTTCTATGTGGCAATTTGACAACAGGAGAAATAAATGACTTATTGCTTTGCCTTTTAGTAGACAAAATAACTAAACAATATAATATTCAAGAGTAAGTAATCAATCCAACTTCAGCTTCAGCCACGAAGGATCCCACAACCTTCTTAATAACTTATTCACAAAAGAGACAAAGTAATAAGTCATTCAGTTCAGCGACTTCAGCTGTTATCAAATGGCCACTTGGAAAAGAGCAGGAAAAATAATAGTACACATATAGTGCTTTGCTCAAGTAAAAAAGTAAAAACTATAAACTATCTAAAAAAATGTCTTTGAGATTCTAAAAAAAAAACTGAAGAAGGAATAGAAATTTACGACACAAAGACCCTCCTAAAACTTGATCTGGACAAAAATCGCTTGTGGCATTGATCCATCTAAACTTGATCTCAGAAGATTTTCCCAATTCCATTGAGGTAGCAAGCAAGTGAAGTTCTTCTACCAATATCAGCTTGTTATAGAATGGATCAGCAGAATCCCCTCAAACTAGAGAGGAGACCCACAGTCTATTCAACTATGTGGATTCTTATCAGAACTGTATTAGTTCTCGGTTCTTCTATTCCAATCAAGGATGCTCCAACCAAGGTTCCTGATGAAGGAAAATTTGGCCCGACCTCGCGATCGCCCGACACATGGCAAAGGCAAGCAGCTCGGGACAGTAGAGCACCCAAAGCGAACATCGGAAGCAAGTCCAAACTCACTACCGAGCCCGAACTCCAGACCGCTGTACTTAGTCCGAGCTCCTTGTTAAGAGCGAGCTCCCTATCAAAGGTCCGAGCTCGGGACAGGAGCTCCCTA